CTGCTGCTGGGGGGGGGGGCTCGGCTTTTCGCAACATGTCACAGTATATAGTTGCCATCTTGTAGTGCGCTCAATTTCACCTGTTACTTCACGACATGTTTCGGCAACATAGTGCCATCATCAGGTGCCCTAATTACGCTAATCTATTTCATTGCTTGCCTTTATAAAATTATTTAAAAAGTATTTAAAAGGTGCGTATTTGTCAACTATAATAAATTTACACACACTAAAACTTGTTAAGATTATTCATCTTATCTGTCATAATTAAAACTTGCATGTGGTTCTTCCACTATGGGGGTCGTTTTTCTTATATTCTGTGTAAACCGTGTCTTATGATGTGTGTTCCCTTCTTAACTGAGAGTTTTGTTCATCATCTTCAGTGAACATAAACCTATCACCTACGCCTTCCAGCAGAAACGGAACAAATGCTCACTAAGGCAATTCAATCATCTCAACTTCATACCAACAATAAATATTTGTATAGAAGTTTAATAAGTGGTTGTCTCTTCATATAGCAACATCCCACAGTATAATTGGTGGAATAATACCTTTGATGACATAACATGCTATTCCATGCAGAGGAATGGTTTCATCAAGTGATAATAGTTAAATAGGCAGATAGATTTAGGGGCTTTTCATGTTTATGGCTATTCACACAAGGACTCACACAGTATAACACTATTTTAATCGCTTTATTATACTGAAATGGATTGATTAATCATGATTATATTTAATCTTTGAATTCTGCTACCATTAATGGTGTTAGCCACATGAATTGCTATTAGGAACGTTTCTGTACATTGAAATTTCAGTTTCACATATATTATGTGAAATATGAATCTGCAAATGTGTAATTCATTTGTTGTTTCTCTATGCTAACATTATATATATATATATATATATATATCTAATGTGTTTAGTAAGAGGGCTTTTTTTTTTATATGTCGTAAGTCTAGTGTTTCATGAATTAATGTGTTTAGTAAGTGGGCTTTCTTTTGTATGTGAAGTAAGTCCAGTGTTTCATGAATTGTACCATATATGTGTCCTCTTATGAGTATGAATTGGATAGATTTAGAGTTCTGTTTGTTTGATTTTATTACATTTGCTCCTGGAATCACATTTTGAATATGCTGCATGGTAGGCGCCATACATTTTTATAATGCAGAAGAGAGGGATTTTGAATTCTGTTATAAGGAGTGTCATCTCGAATATATGCACAAGAATACCTTAATTTTCTCTTTTGATCACTTTCCTTCAGCGCACCTTTCATCCTTGAAAGCTGATGTTCTGCTGAGCACTAATTTATGGAAGAGTACTGTTTCTTCAGTCTTGTGCATATTTCAGGTTAATATTATTTTATTCTTTCCATTATCCTGTGGAGCATTACCCACTGTATCATGCTCTCCTTTGGTTTATGGTGTATCTTTCTCAGAATTAATGGAAACCTTAATGCTGCCCTTAAACTTATACTTCCAAACAAGCAAGCAAAGGATCTTACTGTCACAACATTAAATTATAAAGTGAGATCTTCTTTGCTCTCCTGTCAGTAAACCTTTTGCGTGACACTTTGTCCATTTCCGGGGGGCGTGCGGTAGCGTAGTTGGTTGAGGGGCTATGCTACAAGCCAGAAGGTCGCGGGTTCAAGTCCCGATGAGGTCAGTGGATTTTTTCAGTTGACCTAATCCTTCTAGCCGCACTATGGCCCTGGGGTAGACTCAACCACTAACAGAAATGAGTACCAGGAATTAATTAAATAATTTTCCTGGGGAGTAAAGCGCGGCCAGCGCGTAAGGCTGACAACCTTACCACCATCTCTGAGCCAATTGTCTAGATAATGTGGGACCCTCAACGTCTCACAACCCTATGGGCCTTCACGGCCTGGTACAGGGATAGCTTTACTTTTACTTTTTACTTTGTCCATTTCCCCGTAACAAGTTGTCTGCTGTAATTTTCTTTGTGACAGGATGGCACTGAAATTCTCTCTTTCTGTTTTCTGGTCGTATTGAATGTTGATAGAGTAGGTGGGCTGATTCCATATGTTCATGCCGTTTCACCTTTTTTAATAATTGGTCCACAAAACATTTTGCATTTTTCCTCCAAGGGAAACTTCTTTCACTTCCTTCTCACCATCATTGCTCACCACAAGAATGCTTGAAATCTGCTGTATATCTCGTGCACTGAAAACTGTGGGCACGTAGCATAGTACAGCTTTTTGCCGCATTGCTCACACTCATCATTGTCACTTTGTAATTAGTATTCTAAGAAACACTCTAAGTGTACACTAGTACACTAGTATTCTAAGAAACACTCTAAGAAACACACTAAGAAACTGTTCTCAGCAGAATTATTTAGCCTTTCAGAATCAAATTTTCATACTGTAACCATCGTTTTTCATTCAGGGCCTACTTTTAATTACACCTTACTGATATTTTCACAATACTGAAAACATTTTGCACAAAGATGTATGGGAGAATGGTGGGGACCTGGCAGTATTTGTATAGTACAGGATATTTTATTCTGGCTTTTATTGTACAAACATTTCATTGTAGTTTCAGATACATTTTCTTAATAATTGGAAGATTAATCTGGATGAGAATAGGATCCGTTGGTAGGCTTTTGTTGAACTGAGCATGTATCCTTGGAATTAACCTGATCATTATCAAAGCCATGCAGGTGAATGTGTTATGCTTGCTATGCTGTGTGGATTATATATGTGGTGATACTGTTTGAAATGCACAGGTTATTTAGAATTGAGGGAGTTTGGAGGGTGTTAGATACAAAGAATTTGAAAGGCTTGGAAAGGTCTATTTTGAAGTACTATTCTCCCATTTGCCTGCAGGGACTGTAGAAAACAACAAAAAGGTTCAGGTTACTTGGTCCCTGGGTACCACCTGAATGAGAGTCAGACACACTTACTGCTCTGCTGTTTTGGGTTTTGAGATGTGCTGAAGTTCACTTGCAGTAAAGGTGGAGGCATGTTAGCTCAGTATATGTAACCATAAGTGAAAACAAGCATAATAAATTGAAAATCAATATGAAGTGATGAAGTTGCAACTCAGATATTTGATTTGCATATTTCATCAGTTGTGGAAAAAAAAAAAAAAACTAAGAAAACTTTCCATTTAATTTTTATTTTTTACTTTCAGTCACATATTCAATTATGACTTCCCACGCAACATCGAAGAGTATGTGCATCGAGTTGGCCGGACAGGAAGAGCTGGGAGGACAGGTGAATCAATCACTTTGCTTACAAGACAAGATTGGGCACAAGCCAAGGAACTGATCACAATTCTTGAGGAAGCTAATCAGGTAATATATTGTAACATCATGGTTTTGGAACAGTTATTGTCTCCCTGCTATTTCACTGTACTCTCACTGGTTTGTCCGCTTGTATCTTACAGTGAACTCACTTGTGATGACACACACTGCTTCACTCTTGCTTCTTCACGTGACCACTTTATGCTGCTTCTAAGCCCAGAATGAGACAAACTATCAAATTTTAGGAGTGCATTTTTGTAGGTGAAGTTGATCTTGAAGCTTCTTGTGGCTGATCCTTGGCCATCAGTGATCAGTGTAGTCTGGGTGGTTGTCTGGAGTCCAGAAGCCAGTGGGGGGCGGGCTTCAAGCCTGTCTGCCAAGAAAGGTGCACACAGACACTCCCCTTGTGCTTGGCTCATTTCAGTCATATCCAGAAATATGATGAATTCAGTTTATCCTTAGACTGACTGGGCAGAAGTTTGTTTGCCTACACATTTCCACGTGGCTACTTTTCCTTGAGATACATACAGATGCAGTTCAGTATGTTGTGAATTATAGTGTTGAAAATGAATTATATATGATACCTTTGTACAGCACTCTTCATAGGGGACATGCTGTATAAAGTTTCATGGGAAATATCTTGACAGTATAGTGCTGTGTAAAGCAGGGATTTACAATATCATGACATAATTACTATCACCTCTAAAAAGATGTACTGACTGAAGAACTTCATGACATCGGTATTTGATTAGAAGCAGGCTCAAAGAAATCATTATGTGTCTTTGCTCTTCAGTGAGGGTTGGCAGAAATACAGCTCATATTCATACAAAGTTGCTGAAGTTACGGCCTTACAAAACTATACAGTAGAAGCCTCATTTGATGGATACCGGTTAATTCAAAATAATTCCCCACCTTAAAGTGTATGAATTTTAATGTTTTTTAAAGTGATTAGTTTAAAGTATGGTTACTTTTTAAGTTGAAGTTGCATTCCATGCCAACAGTGGCTTAAAGTTTTAATTATTCAAAATTCTTTTAGCATAACTCTAGCTAATTTTAGCTTCCCATCCCAAATCTGAATAGTACTTTGTTCAGCCCTGAAATTCTTCAAACAATGGAAGAATGCAGGTAACCTTTAGTTCATGACAGTTTGGGTGACAGGTTTTTGTGTGAGTCACAGCCATTCACTGCTTCATCAGAGCACTGTTTCAGTTTAGTACAGTTGAGAAAAAAATTACCATTGCAGTAGGGACGTGTAAATACCAGGTATATTCAGTTAAATCTTTTGCATAGTGTGTGTGTGTAATATGAGTAAAAAGAAGAGGAAAAATGGCGCTAAACATGGTGATATGGAGAGTGAACTGGTTTTGCAGTACTCAGGTCTACAGTATTGCAGTGAATGATCATACATCAAAAGGAGGGCTGATTAAATCGCACTGAAGATGGGAATTGAATTTAAATGCTTGAATGGATGGCTTAGCATTTCAAAGAGCAGTGGAACATAACATGGCAAGCTATAAGCAGGGAAGTTGTGAAAATGTTGATTCAGCAAAGGTGACAAAAAAGACACTTGTCATCACACACTATGCTCCAAAGTACATTTTAACATGGACAAAACTGCAATGTCTTACAATGTACATCCAAAGAAGGTACTGGCCTTAAAGGGAGAAGTGCCAAGGAGGGAGGGATACAAGGACAGTGAAGTAATGCAAGTACCAGTGCAAAACTTTGTCCTTTGACTGATGGTAAGTTTGAAAAAACCACATTACCTTAAAGGCTTAAAACATTATTCTTGAGACTAAAGTGAGTAAATAGAAGACTGTGTAGAGAGTGGCTGGTGTCTTTTGAAAGGATAACGGCTTGTGAAAACATAAATGTCCTTTTAATACTGGATCAGCGTTCTGCTAATGACAAGGATCTTAATCTGAAGCAAAGATGCCCATTGTATTTGTCTCCAAACACTATCAATTTACCTAATACTTCCAGCCGCTTTGTGGCACCGGGGTAGACTCAGCCTCTAACAGAAATGAGTACCAGGAATATTCTTGGGGGTAAAGGGCAGCTGGTGCCTAAGGCTGACAACCTCACTGCCATCTATGAGCTGACTGCCTACAAAATGTGGGAGCCTCGACGTCTCACAACCCTGTAGGCCTCCACGGCCTGTTACAGGGATACCTTTACTTTTACTTTACTTACACCATCAGTTACACCCTACCACCTGACCAGAGGATCATCTGCTGTATGAAAAACGTGTATCAGAAGCACCTTATGCACTTTTTTTTTTTTTTTGCAAACAACTGACACAAATGTTCTGTAGCAGACATTAGGAAATGGAAGATCTTGGATGGCATGTGTAATGTTGTGGGCATCATGCCTGTAGTTATCCAGAACTGTTTTGCAGAATGTAATTGTGGCACTCTGTGAGTGAAGTCAGAACTGAAGAGGATGAAGAAAATTTGGAATGATTTCAAGGTCACATGGATTATCCAAATATTTTTAATAGGTGATGATCCTGGAAAAGGCACCAAAGAAACAGTAGTAGCCAACTATGAAAATTCCATCGGTGAAGGCTACTGAGGATACTGTATCTCCAAGTTACGTTGTATACCTTCTCCAAGTTGAAAAAAAGAAACAAAAACAATTCTGGATATGGTTCTCCAGGTTCATGAGGTGGTGAAGGATGGATCTGTGGTGTTGAAACCCACATTGAGCATTCAGAAGTGGATTTATGTTCTTCAGGAACCACACAAATCAATGGTTTATTATGTGCCATGGTCTTAGAAGCATAGGTAATAGGACTCATAGGCCTATAATTAATTCAGAGGGGGCAGTATTTACCTGGTTTCAGTTTCTGAATAATGGTTTCTAGTCTCCAGGCAGCTGGAACTGAGTTTTTTGGCCATATACAGTTGTATGTGGACAGCAGAAACTCCTTGCATGTGGTTGGAAGGTAAGAGAGCATTTGGTTAAGGATCCTGTCAGGACCTGGGGTCATACTTTGACAGGAATGTAGCACTGCAGATAGTTCATCCATACAGAAATGAATTGTATGGCTCTGGGAGCCAAGAGGTAAAGTTAAGTGGCAGTGCTTCTGTGTTTTCTTTCATGAGTTTAAAAGAAGTTGCCACCAAGTGTGCTGGCAGTTACCCGGATGTGATGGTATCACTACTATCTGATGTGCCATGTATAGAAGTGACATTGCACTTAACCAGACACACATCATAGTTTCTTCCAGACAACATTTGAATGGGTAGACTGAGAAAGACTAGAAACAAAGATTTCCCATAATGTGCACTTGGCTCTGTGTAAGACACACTTAGCCCTGACCCAAAGGTGCTTAAAAGTAATCAAATTCTGCACTGTAGGGTGGATATTAAGGAACTTTGAAGAGAATGCTTCTGAGCATGGATGGTGTCATGACATTAATGTGGCCACCATGGAACGGGTCTGCATTGTGGTCTGGTGGATGACAATGAGATGAAACTTGAACAGCTCAGAGCTAAGTGCTCGTGAAATGCTCCACCATGGACTCAACAAATGAGAATTCTCAGTCCTTACTGACAGAGAAAGCTACCCAGTCAGCACATTGGATTATCACATTTGGGTGTCAGGATTTGAGTGGGAATACTGTGAAAATATGCTGACTTGCAGAGTAGCAGTTACTGCCGTGCAAGTTTGCAAAACTTGACCTCTCAAGATGGCTGCCATCTCTAAACTTACACTACAGAAGGTGAGGTTCAGGGGAAAAGAGCTCCCTGACCTTAAACATATGTATATGATGATTCCTGTGTTTAGGATTAGCTCAAACCCAGCACATATATCAGAAATTATTCTGCCTCTATACAGTAAGGACTGATTTCCACAGAATATTGTGTGCCTTGAAATCACCTACAAAAATTAATAGTGGGGGTAACTGTGCAGTTAGACTTGTCAGTTCAGCAGGAGGGATGGGAATTGTAAGTGAAAGAGTGGGCGTGTCGAGTTTCAGTGTTGATGAGCAGGAAAGGTGCAGTCCTTGAATAAGATAGCAGCACCTTTGTTGGCCCTGTCACCATCAAGGTGGGTTGTATAACCATAGAGGTTTAATGAATAGAATGGAGGTAGGTGTGTTTCCTGAAGACAGACAGTGACTGGGTCATGGTGTTGTTAGTGCCTGTAAGTCAGGAAAATGTGTACAGAAACTGTTAAGGTTCCATTGCATCAGGTACATTATCAATGGTCAGAAGAAAAGCTATAGACATTCATAAACTATGGTGCCTTGAGAGGTAATCATTCCAACCTCCCTCTGTCCCCTGCCAGATATGCCAGCAAGTCTGATGTGCTGGAGTAAGACCTGCTATGGTCAGGTATGGGTATGTGGCCCAGATCACAAACCAGAATGTGATCAGGACCAAGGACACTGCTTTCAGAGTGGTAATTTTTGACAGAGTTCATGGGGTTTGGGTAAATTTACACCAGGCGCAGCAAGGTTTGGGGGGGATCATCATTCTGACAGGTACTATTTTTTTGGGATGTGCTTGGTCTGAGTGGGTACGGCTTATGACTGAGTATTGACACCAGCTCTTTGTGAGCAGCAGAATGTTGATGCATGAGACTGGCTCCCAGTCATATGTTTCGATTAGACAAACTTTTTCCAGGCACCCAGAAAAGAAAGATCTTCCTTGACCCAAAGTTCCTGAATGGCCTTTTCATCTGATATGTGGGACAATTCCTATCACTGGATGCATGTGCTTCATAGCAGTTCACATAGTGCAGAAGACTTGGACATGTGCGTTGCCATGGACTAGGCTCGAAACACACCACTGTTGAGTGTGTCCAGATCTCTGGCACTAGAAGCGCCACATAGGGTTTGGAAAGAACAGACAAACGTCCTCTCATGCTCAACAAGTATTGACCTGGGCAGCAGGATAGAAATTTCCAAAGTTAGAAACACGGTTAGAAGAGGGAATGGCTTTTCATCCCTCTTCCTGACCAACCTGTTATGCTTTAGAAAAAAGATCTCATCTGACATGCCATCCAGGATGTCAGTTATCAGTACTCCCCATGATGAATGGAGGGACATGTACAAATTGTGAAGTGAGGAGTTTGGTCTTATGGATGACCTCTGCCTGTTTCTCATTAAATGTTTCAACTAGAAGCATCCCACTCTTCACTCAGGTTACGATGCTGACCTTACCAATAATACCATCAAGAGCTTTCTGTAACGTTGATTCATGTTACCCATGGATTTCTTCATGTCTTGGAGTGCTTTCAAAGAGTCTTTAACATTTAAATACAATTTACATCGTAGTGGACTTGAAGGGCATGTAAAAGCCATGACGAAAAGGGCCCCTCTGGAATCGTTAATGTCAGCGTGCCACTGGGTGGAGAAAAAGCAGACGAGACATGAAGGTCATCTGGTGTGTGGCAGCATGGGGACTTTACCCTTTTAGAGCATCAGTAATAATTCCAGTTCTAAAACTAATGGCAAGTCCTACACCATTGCCAGGCGGGTATTAATTTAGTGTATTTAATTTCAGTAACTACCTACATTTTAGTTCCTTTATTGTATGTTAATTCCAGATGGTCCCTTCAGAAATGTAAAATTCATGTTTCACTGTACACGTAGTATTACAGAATTCCCCCCACCATGCTTGTATGCACTCATCATATACAGATAAGAGAAAGATCACAGTTCTGACAAATTTTGCATTGGTTCCATTTAGCAGCAAAAGCAGATGTCAGTCATGTACCAGTGTGTTTGCCAGTAAGACGTAACTTCATTGGTGAAACAGCAACATGATATTTAACTTGCCATACCAGTTAATAATTATGGGAAACAGAATGCCCTGTGCCATCAAAAATTTCAGTATATGGAATTCATTTTGGCTTTGAAATTAAATAACCATGATTGATCTGCCATTTTACAGTCCAAAGGTACCATATTTCCCAGACCCCTTTTTATTTCAGGAAAATGCTATCTGTATTATGCAAGTCATAGTCTGACGTTATGGCAGGAATTTTTCGTAACAATTTCCCTCTAAGATCTGAATGTATCTTATGGTTTGGATGACACACTAGTTTATAAACAAATCATATTTGGTATTTACAGGATTGAAATTTTCAGACAAAATGTGCATATCTGAATGAGATAAGTATCTCATGTTATGATGAGCTTTTCCTGAGAAAATAGCCATCATTGTTCTGCAGGCATTAGTGGTGGTTTGAAACTCCCCAGGTATGTTTTGCAAGGGAAATGCCACTCTTGTAGGCTTAGCGGATAAAAAAAAAAAAAAAAAAAAAAGCAGAAATTTAAAAGTCACACTCAAGACAGATTTTGAGTTTAATTTGAACGTTTTCAAATCCACAATTACTCGTATTACGTAAATTTACATACAGCACATTTTTTCCTCCATCAATAACATTTTTCTTTTGGCTTATTTTGGATTTCACCCATTGTCTGGTATGTAAAAGACAAAAAAACCACAATGTTTCGGAGACTGGATCTGTCTCCATCTTCAGGTCCAGTGATTGAGACTAGCTCTTTCTAACGGGCCCAACTGAGTAGGTTTAACCTTCCCTATCCACCTGAAGATGGAGACAGATCCAGTCTCCGAAACATTGTGGTTTTTTTGTCTTTTACATACCAGACGATGGGTGAAGTCCAAAATAAGCCAAAAGAAGTACAGTATACACCATCATCAGAATCCTTTCAAGCCAACAACATTTTTATTCATGCAGGAAGTACCTGAGCAACTGATAAAAATGGCTGAACGATTTCATGCATGGAAAGAGAAGAAGGCTGCAGAGAAGGACCAAGAACGTATGGATGTGCGAGGTTATAGAGGTAGAGGTAGATGTGGTTTTGGAGGTGGTAGTGGAGGGAGACGTGGTAGGGGTAAATGGTAAAGAGAATATCATGTTGGATTTTGACTGTATAACTTATTCTTTATATGCACAGAATACAGTACTAATTGGGTACAAGAGAAGTATTCTAACATGTCAAGTTATCTCATTTTGCAGATATTTGCACAAGTAAAAGACAGCCTATTAACATGTTATTCAAGTGTCACTTTACTTGCTGCAATATCATTATTTGAGTTTTGGTTAGGTAAAATATATGTATTAGGATATGATGCAAAGTTTTGTGAACATATTCAATATGAATATGAATCAGTTATTCCTGTGGCCACAGCTGTTTTAAAAATAACTGTACTGTGAAACCACATTTTCTTATACAGGTCATATTAATGTTTGCCTTTTTTTTTTTTTTTTAAAGATGTTTTATTTCCAAGCAAGTATGAGTTGTGAAGTTTGAGGAGTTATGACCATAAATGTTGTAGATGTGAATAAACATGTACTGGAATCACCATTTGAAGGTTTTTCCTCCTCTAGTTTATATGGTCCCAGCCCAATCTGTTAATTCCTTTATTTAAGATGCAGAAGGGGACATTTACTGCTGCCATCCTCTCTATAGTGGGAAGGCTGTGAGATGTAGGCTCAGTTGCAAAGCCTTCTAGAGACATTTTTATTGTTTGAGATTCTGCCTCCTGGTGTAACTTTTTTTTAACCCAGAACTCTTCATACAGTTCATATAATCCAGGATACTTTATGCAATTTGCACTCAAATTGGACCAAGGTGTAAAGTGGCTGCAGTCGATGTTTGAGGTAGCCAGGTTGCAGGTATATGCACATGATTAAGTTTGTTTCTCAGTGAGAAATATGTGTATATGTTGTGGAAATACTGCTATAATTTGGGCATGTTACTCTTTAACTTTTTCAGATCAGGATGAGAATGAAGACAATGAGAATTTTTGCCAGTAGACTGATTTTTTCAGAGTAATAATTTGCAACACTAGCTACCTTTTGACAGTGCACCAAAGTGTAGTACCATATATACCTGAATGGAAGTTGTTTCTGAATGAAACATGACCCTGCACTAGGAAACATGTCTGCATAGAGAAGTAACTTTATGAACCGATTTCTTAATCTTACTACACACATGTGAAATAAGACAAAAATTAGATAACATGTTATACATGAAATGTATTGGGTTAGCTTCCTTTTTGAATTCAGTAGCCTTTATTCAGTTTCATTGTCTTCACAGTTCACTGCCAGCATTCGCAACTTCTTCAGATATACAGTTTTAAACCTTCTGACCATCACTTCTATAGAGATCTGTTGCTATGGTCTTGATCCACTGGCAGCAATTTTACACGAAGCTTCTTCATTGTCTCTGTGATGTTAGAGCCAGTTGGAATAAAGCTGTTTCAAATGATCATTAAAAAAGGCTTATTCAGGCAGTTATGAAGTCACCCCTCGACCCAAAGCATTATATGAATCATAGATATGGCATCCAGTGTTAATGACTTCAAAATGCATCAATCACAAGCATTCCTTCTTTTCTCAACAAAACTCTTGATCTCCTGTTGCAAACTTGTAACCAGTCCCCCATCAGTTCATTTAATCATCTGTCCCTTAGTTAAGCGACACAGTCAATAGCCCCATAGATAGCACCTTAGATATTGTTTCCATTCACACTCACAAACGGCAGTAGTTTTGTGCTGTTTGCCAACTTGGTCAACATTAATCAGTTGCATCTTTTCACTGTCTGATGTTTTTATGAGAACAGCTTTTGCATCTACATCATCGTGGTATAACTGGCTGGCATATTAACAACAGTACGGTGAAGTGTGGTAGTAACTTCTTGCAAAGCGAAGACCTTCACTACAAAGAAAACCATAACATTTTCATGCACCACCCTGAGTTGGACTTAAAATTTCATCCTGTTGTTGAGTAATGATATTACACAAGACTGACATTCCATTCTGGCTTTGAATCTGTGCAAACTGAATATTTGCACAGAAATGGGAAGGTCCAGTTTCTGTTGTCTCTGGAAACACTGTATTTTTTTTGCTGCCTCACATTTGTTTTGAATGCTTAATGACTTCAGTCTTGAAGCATACCTATAACTTGTGCCTAATCATTTTTACATTATTTTGTTTCACACAAGTACTTCTTTTCTGGACATGACCGGCCATTTTTTGCATTCATTTACACTTGCATTAGCACACAATCAACTGATATTGTAGATCAGTGACTTACTACTTTTGTTTCATTAATTTGATGGTACTTCTGGCAATCTCATGACAGTTTGTATTCTGACTTTGACACACATTTCTGTCTCACAACTCTTACATAGTATGATAGTGCGAGATGCAGTCTGTGCTACGAATATGCTAAAGGCTTAAAACCAATTAAAAACATTTTATATGGTGTGTACGTGCACACGTGTACACACACACACACACACAGTACATATGCATCATACAGTTATCTTGTTTCGAAGTTCTTTTCACTTTATCAGTAGCCACTTGTGATCATGTCTGCTGGTCTAATCCCCAACTATTTTACTACACACTACTGCACTCACAGACTTGCATCTCATCACACTGGTTCACCTCACATGAACACTGCACACCACTTCCAAGCCTAAGGTTTTTAATTTTTGTTGAAAAGCTCACGTACATGCTGGAGACAAGGCACATTTTGTTTCTGGAAGATGGGAGAGGAGCAGGTAGGTCTGGAAACTTCAGTAGGTGTGTGCATTGTATTCTGGTGTGTAACCTGCTTCTCCCCACCCACTGTCCATGTGACAGCATATATAAACGAGTATATATGTCATTAAAATTCATAATTACTTCCCATAGGTTTGTAACCCAAGCTCATCCTCCATTCAGGCCAATACAGTACTGTCCCTTTTGACATGACCCTGACAGTGCAAAGCAAAAGTACTGTACAGAGCCTGTGAGCTAACAGAAGAGACCATTATCAGAGCCCAAAACCCAGCAACATGTCTGTGATGACAGCGCCAGCGTGAACCCAAGCAAAAGAGGTATAACAGACTGTGAACGATCGATTCTACTGTGTTAGTAACCTATCTTGCGAGAATTATTTTGACATACAGAGAAAACTAGTTCTTACATACGGCTTCAGGATAATATAAACACAAGCTTATTTGAAAAGAAGCTGATCATAAAAATAACTGCTCTAGTTTGGGTAAAGTTTTTTTCAGTATGGTGGTATCAAGCCAATTGTTAGGTTTGACCACAGTAATACTGTGTTGTGAACTACAACAGATACTGCACCTACCACTGTTGCTGAGAACTGTCATAGAAATATAGGCAAATATATGTGATTTTGCAGCATACAGTAAATCACTGTCTACAGAAGCCTTTGGGTGAAAAGGATGGATTCAGATGTCTGCTAAACTTTGTAGATGCATTATTTAAATGGTTTGAGTAAAATGAGGTATGTTCATAATTTTTCTGTTAGTACATTTTATGTTATTTAATTAAGGAGAAGGCTGAATATTTTTAAAGTGATTTTCTTTACACAAAAATTACAAAGGTTTGACAGTATTGTGAGAATAAGTGAACAATAGTGATCCTTAAAGATTGATGTATTACATTTATATCATTCTGTATGTGTGTAGATATACATGTAAATCTAAGTTCTATACGCTGTATTGCAATGTTGGAAAATAAACACATTTCAGTAAGGCGAAAATAGCAATAATGTGGTACTGTCTGGTTTTAAATATCTGTGTGTAGAAACTACTGTAAGTAAAAAATTCAGCAATACATAGTATATTCTGGACTTAAATTTAAATACAGCAGAACAGAATGTAGACCAAAACTCTCACTCAGACCTTAAACTGCGTCATAACTGGGGGATGTCTTGAGACGTCTCATGGTTTTGTCTACACATCATAGGGTTGGATGAACCCTGCCTGAGTCATTAAAGAAGAACTCAGAACTTGCCAGATTAAAAGATTTAGCATGTAATTACTCATTACATAAACAATACAAGTACTCGGTGCTAATGACCAAACAGTGTACATTAAATATTGTACAAAAATGTTTTCACTCTGACTGATGACATGTCTCCTCAGAGCCTTTAACTTGAATACAACACTGTTACATATAAGTATAATGTCTGTCATGTTTTTAAAATACGAACCATGTACCCTTTTAAAACATGCATCCAAGCAAGACTTGAAATTAGAAAACTTGTAAGTTGAACTTTCTAAGTTGTACAGAGTAACATTACTAAAAATTTAACCCTCTCCAGCACACAGTGCTTGGATTTTAAAACTCTTCTCCACTCCATAGCATTCAAAAGTACTTGCATCTTTAATTTTTTTCAGGAGAACAGAGTTCAGAGTCTGGGGGACTGTCCATACTATGAATACTTATTAATTAAAGTTCTCTATATTTATTAACAAAGGAAAGATAGGAGATAATTTTCTCTTATGAGGAGCAAAGGAACTAGAATATGTAGTCAATAAATTTCACAAATACCATATGAGGAGATTTCAGTGCTAAAGTAGATAGGGAAGACATTTTCAAACAAACAACTGGGAATGAGAGTTTGCACAAAATTAGTAATGATAATGAAGTTAGAGTAGTAAACTTTGCCACATCCAAGTATCTGTCAAAAATATGACGATCTCACATTGTAACATTCATAAACTTATCTGGACATCTCATAATGGAAATACTCACAATCAAATCGACCATATTTTGATGAGAGAAGAAAGCATTCAAGTGTACTTGATGTACGTTCATTCATGCTGCAGACTGTGATACTAAGCAGTATCGTGCTGAAATCTCAAATAGGATCGCAGCTTTGGAAAAATTGAGGCGGATATTAATAGAGCTTGGAAAACTGTTAGAATATCAAAATTTCAGCCAAAGAGAGTTGAGGTTATTATGAACTGAAGAAGCATAAGGCATGGTTGGAAGGTTGCTCAGAATTGTTAGATCAAAGGAAACAAGCCAAACTGCAGTGGTTACAGGATTTAAGGAAACTCAATAGGGATAATCTAAACAATGCAAGACATGAATCTAGCAGGCATTTCAGGAATAAAAAGAGGGAATATCTGAGAGACAAAATTAATGAGCTTGCAACAGACAGAACAAGAATATTAGAAACTTGTATAGAGGAATAAATGAATGTAGGAGGGGTTACCAACCTATATGTAACTTAGTGAAGGATAAGAATTGGGATCTACTTGCAGATGCTCACAGTCTTGTGAATAGTAGGATGAAATACTTTTCTCAGTTATTAAATGTACATAGAATCAGTGATGTTAGGCAGATAGAAATATGTACAGCTAAGTACCTGATCTTAGTCCTTTCAAGGCTGAAATTTCTATTGCAAATTTGAAAAGGTATAAATCGCCAGGTAGTGATCAAATTCCAGCAGAACTGATTCAAGAAAGAGGTGAAATATTAGGGTCACAGATCCATAAACTCTTTTAATTCTTTTTGGAGTAAGGAAGAACTGCCTGATCAGTGGAAGGAGTGTATTATTGTACCAGTTCACAGGAAGGATGATATAACTGCAGTAATTATTGTGAGATATCACTGCTATCAGCTTCATATAAAATTGTATCCAATATCCTCTCAAGGTTAAGTCCATATAAAGATGAAATTACTGGGGATCATCAGTTTGGGTTTTGACATAAAAGATCAACTACTGATAAGATTTTTTTTTTTTGCATTCATCAGATATTGGAGAAAAATGGGAGTATAATGAGACATTACATCAGCTATTCATAGACTTCAAGAAAGCCCATGATTCAGTCAGGAGGGAAGTATTTTACAATATTCTCATAGTTTGGGGTGCCCAGAAACTAGTTAGGCTGATTAAAATGTGTTTAAATGAAACCTATAGTAAGCCTGTGTAAGTACACTTTTGTCCGACAATTTTCCTATCCAGAATGGTCTAAAACAAGGAGATGCTTTATCACCACTGCTTTTCAACTTTACTTTATAATACGCCCTTAGGAAGGTCCAGGAAATCCAGGTGGGACTGAAATTAATTGGGACACATCTCCCGCTGGTTTCTGCCGATGATGTGAATCTATTGGGTAATAATAGATACCATAAAGAAAAACACAGAAACATTTAATTGATGCTAGTAAGGAGGTTCATCTAGAAGTAAATGAAGTGATAACTAAGTATATGTTACTGTCTTGTCACCAAAATGCAGGGCAAAATCATTACATAAAGATAGCTAATAGATGTCTTGAAAATGTGGCACAGTTCAAATATTTTGGAACGACAGTAGCAAATCAAAATTTGATTCAGGAGGAAATCAGGAGATTGAATTTAGGTCATGCTTGCTATCATTCAGTCCATAACTTTTTGTCTTTTCGTCTGCTGTCTAAAAACTTATAAATCAGCATATACATAACTAATTTTGCCAGTGGTTGTGTATGGGTGTGGAACTTTGTGTGTAACATTAAGGGAGGAACATAGACTAAGGGTGTTTGAGAACTGGCTGCTGAGGAGAATATTTGGACCAAAGAGACCTGAAGTGATGGGAGGTTGGAGAAAACTGCACAATGAGGAGCTTCATAAATTGTACTCTTTGCCAAGTATAACCAAGTCAAGGAGGATGAGACAGGCAGGGCATGTAGCATGAATGGGGGAGAAGACAAATGCATAGAGGATATTGGTCAGAAAGCCAGAAGAGACCACAAGGAAGACAGATGTAGGTGGGTGGATAATATTAAAATGGATCTTAGATAGGATGGGGTGGTATGGACTGGATTCATGTGGAACAGGAAAGGGAACCAGTAAAGGGCTCTTCTGAACATGGTAATGAACCTTTGGGTTCTATAAAATGCTGGGAAGTTCTTGGTAGCTGCACAATTGGATGCTTCTCAAGAAAGGTTCAGCTCCAGGAAGTTAGAACCGAGAAGCAAAGTTCTTTTGCAAATGAGTAAAAAGTACTATTTTGAGAAACAGTATATCTTCTTGATAATTTGTTTGTCTACAAGACTAACAAAAATACTTCTCAAAAGAAAGATGTAATTGTGGAACTGTTTAAGCAGGAAGGAAATATTGATCCAGTGAACCTTAGCTAAGGGATCTGCTACTGAATAGTAGGGAGTCATGGTCACAGCATGGTCAGCAAAGCATGATGTACTCTGTGTATCACAAATTAAGCCTGATGAGACGAATAAGAAAACTGGTGAAGATAACCAGACAGTTGAAATACCTCACCCATGAGCTGTATTAATTCATGAAACATGGGTGTGGCCAGTATCACTGAACAGAAATCATGGCATAGGAAATTCATGTCCAGGAAGCAGGCACACAAATAAGAAATTTAGGTGATAAGACAGTTTCATCTCACTTGTTTCACTTTCTGCAGTGTACTGTGTGTACACAGAAAGAATGAGAGAAATGGATAAATTTCAAATGTGAATATTTGATTGCTTCATAGAGTTTTAACAGTCAACTGCCTGCTGATTCACCTGGAAGTATCAAATGATGCATATTCTCACAGGAATATTGTCAAACTGGTTGTATAATCATAAAAATTCTACCCAAACTATAGTGTACTGGTTATCTAAACCAGCTTAGATCTAGTACACTTAATTTTGAGCAACTAATGGCCTGGCAGTGACATTTCTGTACATATGATTTGATGTCAGATAAGATGTCTCTGTTCTTAGAACAGCAATAATAGTTGGGCTGTGTGTGAAAGCCAGGAAATGTTCAAACATGGTTCAGCTCCAGACAACAGCAAACCTACAGAATGCTAGAACAGCAACAACATTCCACCCCCATGACATACATAGAAGGCAAAAAGGCTCTGAACATAGAAGTATTTTCAATTTTGGTGGGTTAAAGAAATAGCATGTCCTCAAAATGTAAAGATAAAACATTTACAGAAATGTCAGGAATAAATTGTGTTATTTCACTTCCCTTTTTAGTCATATTAGAAAATTAGGGTATATGATTTTAAAATGGCATAAAAATGTCTTTGGAGCTTTGTGTGGGCTGAACATGGAAGATAACTGCTTGCAGGAAAGGGTTAAATACATTATAACAGTAGGGTACAAACTATTTTTAGAAGTCTTATGTTAATTCTGTCTTCAAAAAAACTTTATGTATAAACCAAGTAATTCTCAGTGCCTGTGTATTTTTCAGCAAAGGCTTTTCCAGCAAGGGTTGGTGCTGAAAATGCAAACTCATCCACTCCTAGGACATATCCATGTAAGAAACTGGATCTGAAATAGAATAAGAAAATGCAACTTAGTCCCTTCTCAAAAATCCCTGAATATATTGAAGTTCCATGTCAAATTCAATATACAATGGGAGTCCTGTATAACAAACATTCATAACAGGGAGAAAAACTGACACTACGACAAATACAAATTATAAGTAAATTAAAACTTGGTAATGTATAAATTGCTCCATAAGTCAGACAGCAGATATTTTCACTTATCTCAATGTAACCAGGGAAAACATGGGAGTTTAAAAGGGAAATTAATAGTTATTTTGTAACACTCAGACTGTATGCGAGCCATACTGTTTGTTAAATTTCAACTTGATATAGAAAAGAAGTCATGTGCGTTTAACAGCAACAAATATTCCAACACGGAACAGCGTACTGGGAATCAACAGACACTATACATAAAACTATTTTAACAGCAAAAAATTCTGCACTTTGCACACAAAAATGTATTACATATGAGAGCTATGTAATTCTCAGAATAGCAGTGATTATTTCCTTACATAGCACTAACCATCTGGTCTTTGTAGTGAACACACAGCATATCTTCTATGAGGAAATATTATTTACATGAATTCAGGTGTCAAAGGGTTAACTAGTGAATAAAGGAATGTGTGGTCTCACATCAAATTATGATCATACAGTGAAACCATGTTTAAGGTTTTTGATGAGCATGGGATTTATGTACCTTAAATAGAAAATTTTCTTAAATTTATTGGAAACATTTCAGCAGAATCTTTTCCAATTCAATGTTAAGCTTCTAGCTTCATGTTTTTTCTTTTCTTGGCCTGTACCTCACACTTCAAATTCTGCATCTTTGATTTTCTCTTTTGCAAACATGACTTTGCTTAACATAGATGGAGGGAGTCAGGGGCAATTTGTTGTTTCAGGGAATGAGATGTTGGGATGGGCTTCTACTTCACCTATCAACTTCTTTCACTTGTTTGCCATAACTAATTCAATTTTAAAATTTGCTGAATAATGCACACAGATTACACAAATTTGTATACATATAATGCAAACAACATGTAGCACATGTGTTAACACAGCCTCCAAGAAGATACAACAGATGTGATGTGGTTCCTACCTGCTAAGCCAATATGGCCCTCAGATTTTGCATAAACAGTAAATCAGAGTACAGACTTTATGAAGGGAATGGATTTTCATACACTAAGTATGGATAAGACCTTAATTCTAGAAATACTAAAACGGGGTAATTTATGACTTGCATATATGGGGCTTTTGCCACAACTCCAAAGAATGAACATTAACTGTGGGAAAACCCTAAATCAGGATTCCACTGCATTTAGGATTGAAATGAAGTAATTCTGCGAATGACATCACTAATGTGATGCATATTAGTGAGGGTTGAATGAAGCATATTCGTCTATGTGTAATATGATGCTACGATACATGGCTACTTTATTGTCCAAATTTATTAACTTTTAGAGGAATACTAAAAATGCACTGCACTATATAGTGTACAGTGAAGTAATATTTATCACCAAAATATTGATCCACAGGATGGGTAATTAACTAACAATGAAATCTAAGGTTTAAGTGTTTTGTCAAGTGTTGAGTGTTTGTAACATGACAAATGACTTCATGCCATTTTGGATCTTAGCGAATTTATTGAACACTCGCTCTTACACTTGCACAATTTACAGTGTCCCAATTACTAACATTTTCAGTAGTCACTTCCTGGGTTCAACTGTCTTGAATCCATTCACTCAATACAACTTAACAACTCGTGGCTGCTGGACTTCACCCCATTTCTTCGAAGGCTGGAAACCAACTGCTAATGCTCAACTAACTCCAGTGAATGCTAGACTGCAACTGACTTCCTTAGGCATTCCAGTTTCTCTTATAAACCCTCAGCCGGCCAGCGGAAAACGCACCTCGCTTCCCTGTTGCGTAGTTGCCATGTTTAACGACTGCCTAGCAATAGTCGCTACTCACCTGTTGTGTGACGTCAGAGCCTAGTGGGGAGGAGTGCTTACCGAGCATTGCGTAGTGATGGAAGGAGTGGGGTATGTAACATGACTCGCGGAAACGCAGAGTTCACGTGACCCCTACTTCCTGTTGTGTCATCCACGTTACAGTACCATTCATTTGCAGTATGGTATGGAAGTACCAACCCCAATGAACTACCAGATCTATATGTTCTATAAATATGCATCATGCAGTCTGATTTTACAAGCCAAGGCCAGGCATGAGCAGCGAAGTGGCTAGCTGTGTTGTGTCATGACCAGTGGAGGATATATTTACTTCAAACCAAAACAGAACAAAGTTTTATGAGATTTGGAATCTGACACTGAAAATGGATGTTTTTGCTTTTCTCGATTCTGTGGTAAATGACAATCAAGAAAAGTACAAATGTCCATTGGGAGAATGTGCAAAACTATAAGGGGCAGAAAGAGAATTTCTGAATATGATAATATGTAGGAATAACACAAAGAAAAGAACAGATCAATTGTCAATCGGAATTCAGTTAACTGAGGGACTCTCTGTGAAATATGCTACTGCTGTAGAATACAAAGTGCTGGGTCGACATTCATCAGACAAACAGCGCCCTTCTAAGAGAAACAAATTTTATAAGCAAGATTCCACCAACTGTGAAGAAACCAAGACAACAGAAATGTCATGTTGTGTCAAAAACTGTGTGGAATATTTTAATGACTAACACATCCAGCTGAATTTCTAAGATAATATGATATTATTATTTTCCTAATTTTATAGGCTTATTGTGCCAAAAAAAAATAATTTTAAAGCATCGTGGATCAATACATCGATTCTATATCCATTTCTGAATGTAGTGTGAAAATCAGAAAAACAAAACTCCAGTTTTTCCCAATTTATTACACTTTAAGTGAAATGTTGCATTTACCGTTTGAAATGTTTAAATACCCTCTGTCCCAAGGAGTGAGTAGGAATTAAATGTCCTGTGTTGCTGAAGGGTTAAAGCCATGTTTTGAGCTATCCGCCAGTTCTGGAAGTTGATATGACAGTGGTAAGCCCACACCACCATCAAACAGTGCTAAGGAAGGCTTAGACAGTTAATTTTTACACCAATCCAAGAGAGTGGTTCTAAGTACAGTGCAACCATAATATAACAATAATTTATAAAATTTGTAAAAATGGTTGAAATATATAATTTCCAAGCCCATTTTCTAATCATACAGTATACAGTATATTACTATAAGGCATTATGCCATCATGGACTGCTGGGTACAAATAGCTTGGGAAGCAAACCTACAATTAAAGTTGAGGCAAAAAGTTGCAGCTGGCTAGAAATTGCTCATTATGAAAAATTCCCTTTTTCTGTATGAAATGTTTCCATATATGGAACATTACCATATTGACAGTGCTATCTTTTTTTTTTCTCAGTATAAACCATACCCATTACAATGCAGTTTCAGTGTATATTTAAAATTTAAAAGTTGTGCGTCAAACAGTAATTAGAAAACTATTCTGAATGTATGTATTTCTTGTATCAATTATGTCTGTACGTTTCCACATGCACCACAATCAGCCAGTCCATAGGCAAACAACAAATCACAAACAAAACCCACTCACTTCACAGCTAAGCTGGAAATGATCCCTGTTGTTGCACACACACACACACACACACACAGATTCCTGCCACCGTTTTTAATTTGCTGGCTAATGCACTTATTAACTGCATTGTGGGTACAAACATGCATGGGAAGAGTTGACACGAGAAGTACTTCTCTTCTGTGTAGCAGCTGAACAATTTATGGCAGCCTCTCAGATAATTTCCCTGTATAAAATACGGTATAAATGAGATGCATCTGGAAAAGTAGGAGTAACTAGGTAGTTTTCATTCATAAAGCCCTGCACAATGCTGTATCAAATGCAGTTCAACAATGCACCAGAAAGGATTTGGTTACACGCTCCTCGAACACAGGCCATGTACATTAATATTTCTGGGAGGCTGTACTCTGCAATTAACACAGTACTATTTAATGACATGTCTAAATACAAAGAAAGAATGACCAAATACACCTAATTACCTCATACAATCCATCATTTTTGAGGCAATTTTCTTCCTTCTGTAATTCTTGGCTACCCATACTCGACTGACACCGCATTTGGCTGGATATGATTCCTCAGAGCAACAATCGCAGCCTTCAATCACACTGTTCAACATCTTGTACGCAAATTTTATTGGATGGGCCACCACACAGCCAATCACTTGCTTGTCTGTCACGTAAAGGTAGATCTAATGGACACAAGTGTAGCAAGTTAAACTGATATCACTGAACTGCCAGAACATTAAATATAAACAAAGAAACCTGTCAGAAAGAAAATTCCTTTTTCCTTGCAGCAGACTTCTGGACATGGCTATATACAGCCATTTCTCAGCTAGTTCATCTCACTTCTGGATTTACTTAAACATGTTTGACAAACTTGCTAAGCTATTAATTTTTAACTGGCACCAGACAATTCTCACATGCCGACTCATTAGTTTATGATGATTTGGAAGGTTTCTTTCCTTTTCAGAAAATGCATGTAGATAACCATACAGACTAGATCAGTAATACTGTGCTGAAATCTTTCATCTGAAAACCAGGAGGATTAGTCAAGTGGATACTCAATCAGTCCATGTACGTAATATGATGGCAATATATCTACATGACTCTTTGAATTTACATTTCCATGAATAGCCTAAGACATATATGAGTTAGCTCTAACCATATATTCCTCCTTTTAATTGCAAGCACATTCTGCAACAAAATACATAATATGATCACTTCTGGTGTACGAGGTGCTATTGGAAAGTTCCCAGACTAGGTCAAAAAAGAAATTCTGGCTTAAGTTACTCAATTTTGGCTGCCTTCTCCTTCAAAGTAGTCTCCTTGGGAATGCATATAGCGATGCCATCATTTTTTCCACGCTTCAAAAGCACTGTGAAAGTCATTTTCCTTAATGCTCTCGAGTACTGCTTGTGATTCCATTTGGATGTCAGACACCATTTCAAAGCGTTGTCCCTACAGCTTCATTTTCAATTTGGGAAACAAAGTGAAATCACGGAATGATAAGTCAGGTGAAGTAGGGAGGATGGGGAACAATAACCAAGTTGTTGTTACTCACAAACTCCATGGTTTTCAGGGACATGTGGGCAGACGTGTTGTTGTGATGAAGCCACTTGTGGTTGTGCCAAAGTTCCGTTTCTTTGTCGCACATTTTCTCTCAAGCTTCTCAAAATGACACAGTACGAATGAAAGGCAGAGTTGAAGAAAGCTGTCTTCTGGGATGTGGCACCATGTACAGATTGTGTTAACCGAAGTTTCAGAGGAACGTATCACCTCCATCTTCAGGGTTGAAGACATGAAGAAATCCGTGAGGGAACCAGCTTGAGCAGGTGCAACAGACTGAGTCCAGTCAAGTAAACACAGCTGTATAAGAGAAGGAGGGAAGTGAGTGGGGTTACATAGGGAAATAGTAGAGAGGGGGAGGGGAAGGGTCTGGTGGAATGGCCAGCAGGTAGCATAGTGCAGGAATATTCTTGGGGGTAAAGGGTGGCCAGCACATAAGGCTGACAACCTTACTGCCATCTATAAGCCGATTGTCTAGAAAATGTGGGAACCTCAACATTTCACGGCCTTATGGGCCTCCATAGCCTGTTAAAGGGATACCTTTACTTTTACTTTTACAGTCTGGGAAATTTATGACAGAACCTCATATATGTATACCTGATGTCTTTAGTCATCTTGCTAATAGATTCTAGTATGAAATAAACAAAAATATAGTAGATATGAGTTGAAACTCCACTGTGGAATATATGTATCTTCACCTAAGCTTATACAGAATGGAGTCTAACATTTATTTTAATTTGTCCATCAAAGACCATTTTGAATTTCACATTATAAAATCGCTATATTAATGAAATGTGTAGAATAAATTACAGATGTACTTCTTCCTGACATTTCATTAATTAGTGATGCAGTGTCTGGAATTTGCTGTTGAACAGCAATGGTGTTATAGCCTACTATGCATGAATCACATTGTCCTTTATTTAAACAGATCTCTAAACTTCACTATTTCTTATAAATAATTCCATTCCAAGTTGTCTGTATTTCTTCTAATTAGGGATTACATTTTCTGGAATTAAACAGCCTATAATAAAAAGGATCCTTGTATTAACATTTCCAGTTTATCATTTATTTCAACAGGTCATTCCCTAGTAAAATATCAAGAACTAAAATGTTAGGTTTCTTTCTTGAATATACTGAATTATAAATCAAATAAATATAATACCTGGCTATTACTGAGGTTCCCAAGTTCTGCATCTACATATCCCAGCTCCTTATCTACTACGTTCAATACATTCTTCATTTTATTGAGCCAGGGCTTGGAATCACTGGGTTTGATGAGGATCACTCGTTCTGTTCCATAGTAGGCAACTACTCGTTCCTGTTTGCATGGCTGCAAGAATCAAGATATATTTTCAGAGCTGAAGCTAACTTTGGATTTTAAGGCACTGTTCCTCCTAATACAATTTCCATGTATACATAAATATTAGACAGAAGAAATTAAACTGCAAACAGGATAAGAAAAAGTTCTGTCTTCTGGGAAATGGAGCTATGTAGTCCACCGAAAGTCAACTGACATTTCTGAGCAACACTGTCTCCATCTTCTGGGTTGAAGAATAAGCCAATCAAGAAACCACCATGAAGCAGGTAGCAAGCTGAGCAATATGCTTGCAGAAAGCTCAGGTTTATATAGAAAAAAGAGAGAGCTGCAAGACAATTCATTCATTCCCATTGGCTCCCTCAGAGAACAGAGTAAACCAATAGCAGACACTGGCCAGAGAGACCATTTGATCAGCAACGGGTTGAAGGAGCACCATCTGCAAATCTGGCTGGAACATCCAGACAAGACACTCATGGTGGAGCACAGCACTAACTCCAGGCATCGCATCTAGCTACACAACACCAGCATTCTCTCCAGCCCAATAAGAACAGGGAGGATGGCTTATGCCTAAGTAAGTCATAGAAACTTCTCAGCTGCTTCCTGGAAGTCTACAAACCCTCCCTTGCAAAGCACTATATATGGGTTCTCCATGGGGCCATGTAGGTCCCAGCCTTCCTGAGATATTCTTGCTCTTTTTATCCCCCACCATATACCTACACCCCGAGTATACAACTTCTCTCCCACCCTTCTCAGTTCTCTGCCCACCACACCCTTATGACTTACCTCCTCCATGTTCCCAGATCTGCACTACTGGACCTTTTCAGCATTGATGTTAAATATGCTTGTTCTGTCTCCAATTGGTTAAATCTGTTCCCTCAGACAGTCAATGGGAATTGATCAGCTGTCTTGCAGTTCCCTCCTATTTCATTATTTCCTATATAAACCAGAGCTTTCCACAGGCAGATTGCTCTACTGCCTGCTACATGTTGGTTTATTCAACCCTGATGATGGAAGCAAATGTTCCTCCAAAACATCGGCTGACTTTCAATGAACTGCATGGTGTTATATCCCAGAAGAAAGAGCTCTTCATAGCCACTACTTTGAGAAACTCAATTCTACAAAAGACAAAAACTTAGCCACACAAGGACAGTTCACCATGAGAGTATGGGAGAGGGTACTTGATTGGATACAATCAATTGGAACAAATTAACAACTTATGTAATAACAAAAATTATAAATTCAGGGAGTTACTAATATAAGCAGGGTTTGAAAAATGCAAAGAACACACTCTATTTACACATGCATATGATTTAATGCAGTGTAAAGACTTGATTTATTACACACTTTGATACAGTACATGACTATACTTTACAGTTAACTATTACACACACACACACACACACACACACACACACACACACACACTTGTGTTCACAGTCACATCTTCATTGCTGCTGCTTGGTAGCAGCTTCAATGGTGGACATTCCCCTTCCTCTGGGTTCCTAAACTGTCCCCAGCCTCAGTTACCAGCTTCTAACAGCAACAGCTCATGACAACTGAACCCCATCAGTTCTCTAACTGTAACTGCTAACTGGTCCTGGTTATAACATCTCAGCACAGACCACATATAAAACGTCTCTTCTATTATTGCTGTACTCTCTTGTTGTCACGGAAATATGCTTGTTTGCGGAGCCATGACTTAGTAGTGGTTGTTGTATAATTGTGTAACCGTACGCATCCTTCACGGAAAGTCTTATTTGTTTGTAAGTAACAGTTAAGTTTAGCTGTAGAAATGAGATGCCCCGGAGGGATCATGGTCCTCTGAACTGGCCTTTTGTTGCGAGGGACAGAAGGGAAGTTGGTGAGTCCATTGCATTCAAGGGGGAGTAGGTATACCTTCTTTCGTCCGTGCCTGTGGGGGTGGAGGACCTGTGGATCGAAGCTTCGAGAAACTTCTAGAAGGTTTGCAGACTGGAAGGGGTCCGTGCATTTGGTCATGAAGCCCTCCCAGTGGAAAGTTCGAGATGGCCAAGACCAGGGTTTCTGGAAGCAGCAGCGTGGGTAAGGAGGGAGTTAGTGAGTGGAAGCCGAGGAGTCAGTGAGTAGAAGCCAGGTAGTGAGGGTGTTCCTGTGGAACATGTGCTAGGGGGTTAACCGTTCGAGCCCGCATCCAAAAAA